GTTCTCTGTAGAACCTATAGGGTTCCCTATAGGGCCTATAGGGTTCCCTATAGGGCCTATAGGGTTCCCTATAGAGCCTATAGGGTTCCCTATAGGGCCTATAGGGTTCCGTTTGAAGTTCTCCTCTAGGCCACTAGATGTAGGCATGGGGTTCTCGTATTTCTCAAAGGACACAAAAGTGCCCTCCCCTTACCCATGGAAATTTCTCTCACAAGAGAGTTTTGTACATTCCCAAATTTCTCGCCTTCCCTCATTGTAGCAATCAATAAACTTTGACACTTTCTTATTTGTCATCCCCATCTTCCAGATAGAATCATGGAGTCCAGGCCAGAAATATGCCCATAGTCCCTTCGAAAACCACGCACGAGAGTGAGCAGTGCTTATCCGAAAGGAGTTTCAGTAAAGAGACGTACTCGCAGGTCGGGAGAGAAAAACGATACTTCTCTCTACTAAAGGAAGTGGATGTACGCGAAAACCCCTAATCGGTAATTGATTTTCATCAATATTGACACCTTTTCCATCGTAATGTCTGGGTTTCAAGCCCAAAAAAACCCTCCCCCGATTCCTAAATGTGAGAAGTCCTATTGGATCATATAGGTTTTTCGTGTTTTAAAAACCTACAGGAAAGTTTACAGGTTTCCTATTAGAAATAACTATAGGTTTTCTATAGGACATTTCCGTAATGGTGTCGTCATCGTATGTATCATCACCGCAATCGTCGTTCAATCGTTGTTAAATTGTAGCATTCGAAATGGGATTCGGAGGCATGGCGCGAATCCAGCCTTACGAATTCTTCTCATTCTCGCCTTGAGCGGAACCAGGCAAGGACAAAATTAAGAGAGGAATCGTCTCACCAGCAACTCTTCCTCGAACCCTTCATTCAGTTGAGAGAACGGGGTCAAGGCCCTGGAGGTTCGCTCCCTGACAGCATCGAGGAAGGCGACCGAGCCGTCCAGGGATTCTTCCCCGGACGGAATGATCTGATCGGGAGGAAGGAGGAATCCGAAGCGTTCCGTGTCTCTCAGCAGGACGTCGAAGTATTCGAAGCTTGTCGTTGCCTTCATCCAATCGATCGTTCTACCGGAGCTTCCCTTACGAAAATGCCTTTTAGGATTCCTATATATTTCTTTAGGAATATATAGGAATCCTATAGGAACATATATGAATCCTCTAGGTTCCCTATAGGACCTGGAGGGTTCCCTATAGGGTTCTTATAGAACCAGTAGGTCTCCCTTTAGAACCTACAGGACAGGAATCGGGAACCTATGGCTCATGAGCCAAATTTGGCTCGCAAGCCGAAAAGTTTGGCTCATTGAGTCATGACTGAAAATCATGGTTGTTCCTCATTTTTCTCATGTATCAAAGAATGCATTTGTCTGTTGTCACCTTCAGGAAAATTTCTGTTGTTTTGAAAATATTTTGCTCACAAGCACTTAGCTCAATCTTAAAATGGCTCACATGGCCAAAAAGGTTCCCGACCCCTGCTATAGGACCTACATGGTTTCCTATAGGACCTATAAAGATCCATTGGAAGTTCTCCTTTCGCCCACTATAGGTAAGGATTCTCGCATTTCTCACAGAACACAAAAGTGCCCTCCCCTTTATCCATGGAATGATCTCTCACAGGAGTGTTTTGTACCTCCCCATATGTCTCGCCTTGCCTCATTGTAGCTATCAAGACACTTCGGCACTTTATTATTTGTCATCCCCATCTTCCTGATGGAATCGTGGAGTCCAGGCCGAAAATATGCTCATATTCCCTATGAGAACAACGTATGGCAAAATAAGAATGCAATCCGAAAGGAGTTCCAGTAAAGAGACGGTGTTCGCAGGGTCAATCTGCTATTTCTTTAGGCTGGGAGAAGAATGATTCGTCTCTATATCGAAGGAAGTGGACGCGCTATCCTGCACATTCCAGCGACATATGAGGGAAATAAATTATGCAAGTGTAGACAATTCTTGTATTATAAATGTAAATGCCCCTACCATGGGGAAACTCCTTGTTGGCAATTAATTTACACCCAATTGCTGCTCCAATATTGACCCTGGTGAAAACCGCCAACGAGAAAAAGTGGACTTCATCCGAGAAGAGTTTCCGTAAAGAGATAGTGTTCACAGGTTCTGTCTGCCATTTCCTTAGACCGAGAGAAGAATGATTCTTCTCTCTACCGAAGGAAGTGGAAGCGCTATTCTGCGCACTCCAGCGACATATGTGGGGCTAGACAATAAATTAATCAGGCCTTGGCAGTAGTAGTATTAGAAATGGAAGTGTCCCTACCATGGGAAAACCCTTAGTCGGTAATTAATTTACACCAAAATGCTGCGCCAATATTGACCCTGGTTGTCATTCCCGATGTAATGCCAAGGTTTCGAAATTCAATAAATCCTCCTCGAATCCCGTAAGTCAACAGTCCTATACGACCCTATATGATCCTATAGGTTTTTTGTGTTTCAAAAACCTATGGGAAAGTCTATAGGTTTCCTATAAGAAATAACTATAGGACATTTCCGTAAGGGTTCAGTCTGGAAACAGCGGTACTCATAGAGGATGTATAATAATAATACTCATAAACTGACATATTAGCTGTATATCAATGTTCTCATTGAAGCGCTCTTTGCAAATGTGCAATCAAATCAAGTCAAACAGACCGATACTTTCACAACATATACAGTATTTGAAAATTCATTTGATATTGCACTCCACTCCCTATCCGCTCTTGTGGGAGGGAGTGCGGATTTGTTCTCTCGGCATTCAACATGATTGGGTATTTATGAAAAAGCTTTTCGCGACCATCTTCATGAAAATGTCAGTCCCAAGAATGAATCGTAAAGGAAGAGGTGTTCCATATGGCCTGCACGAATCACAAATCCAGTAGGATTATAGCCTTGCCACCATGCATTCTAATGCGAGTCGAAAAGTAGGTCGGGAACATATCAGCCAAAGGAGAGTACAAGTTACGTGAAAACAGTTCCATTAGGAACAGAGACATTTAGCTTTTCGTGCCCATTCCCTTGGCACACTCATCATTAATAAGTCATTCGCCTTCGTTAATGCACCAGCATTTCGCCTGGTTAACCACGATCGTTATATGGAAGGATGGAGTGCCTCCCCATCTCTGGGGAAGCGATCCTTTCTTCCTCTATTCGTTCTGCAGAGAACTCAAGATTTCCTCCGGATATCCTGCATCATTAAAGACGCGGATTCCACTTTTCAATGGAACGCCGAGGTAATTTTGCTGCCTGTCTTTGTTTCCTTATCTTGTCTTCCCTCTTTTCCTGGTAAATTTAAACTTTCGTCTTTCCTTCCTCCTCTGGAAGCCTTCTTGCAAATTAGCAGCTCTAAGAATGCTTCACTTGCCATCCGGAAAATTGGAAATTGCCATTGGGAAACTAAAAATTTTTCATCTCGCCTTCATTGTGGCGATGACATCTCCACCGAATCAAGGAGTAGAATGAATTCCATGGTACTTGAAGATAATATTGAAATGAACATTCATAGGACCTTTTCGTCCATGACATCGCTACATTTTAATTCGTTATCAGCGATTGGCACCTGTTGCTTTTGCAAGTTGGAATCGTCACCCAAAAATTTTCCCACTGCTCGATTGAGTCGGAATGTACGATAAATACAATGTCGCACAAATTCTCAAACAAAATTACTGTGAAGGAGATAATTTTTCTGATTTTCTTTTTCATAGGGTAAAAGGTGAAAAATTAAAAATTAAAAATGAATAATATTCGCGCATTTTCCTTGGTATTGACTCCAGGGTCTCTCGTCACATGGAAATGGGAGAAGTGCATTGCGGAGATCCGCACTCCTACAATTTATCTTTCACTTTATTTCACCCACTTATCATTGTGACATGTGTGCTTTTCCCCATGGGAATCGCCTGACTTCTCGGAATTGCCGACGGCCTCTTAACGGGCTTCAGGGAAAACGCAGAGCATACATCCTACTCTTTTTGTGACGCAGACAGAAGGAAGAAAACGAAATTAATTTCGCACTGACGCTAGCGGGAAGTGCATATTAATCGAATTTTCATGACTGCAGACGTTTCGCAAATTCTCGATATTCAAGAAAGAGTAAACTTGCTTTGGCATGGAGACAGGTGCGACATTGCGATTGGCCAGGTAAATGTTCCTGAAGTCAGTCAGTGCTGGAGATTCACTTTCACAGGGCTGAAGCAGTTATAAAGAGGGGGAGGGCAAGCCTTATAAATTGTAATGATGCTAATTAATTAGACCGGTCTCCCCAGCGGCTCCTATTTCACAAGCCTATAAGGTTCCTCATAGGAATCTTATAGGTTTCTTACAAGATTCTTATTGGATCCTACAAAAACTTACAGGATGTATGGACATTCCATGTAAAGTTCCTCGTAACATTCTTATGAGACCTATGAGGGATCTTATGAGAATCCTGTAAGACTTTTATGTTTCATTTGATAGGCTCCTATAAGATGTTTTCGTACGAAAGGTAAAATTGTCATAATTATATCATTGGCCCTAACATGGTCGAGAACGGATCGCAAAGCAGAGGAATTCTGTCGCACATGCAGGCATGATCTTGGGAATATCCGTCTCTCTATTTCTTTTTATTATAGAAAACTTTTATTTTATTGTATTAACTTTTATTATAGAAAACATGTAGGGTTCCCTATAGAACCTGTATGGTTCGCTATAAGACCTATAGGATTCTCGGGAAACTACTCTCGCGTAAGCAAGAAACGGCTCACTCAAAATGAATATATTTTCAGGGAGCAGAACTGTCCTTTCAACCGCGTCTCTAAATTTTCAATAAATCCCCTTCCCTCACTTGTACCTGAAGGCTTCGTGCATAGTTTCCTAATCTTGAACTGACAGCACATGATTTGAAGCCCTTGATCATGCCATGTCTAATTGTCCAGACGAGAGCTGCTGGCAGGAAAATACGAGAAAGTTCCATAATGAAGAGATTTTTTGTCTTGTTAATCACTGCGTTTAGAAAAGAATTAGAAGCTCGGGTTCGGCCCCACCAATTTATATTCCCATAATACGACATAGAGACATTATCAAAAAATCAACGAAGATATTCCCACCATCAATTTCTCCACGGACGCTTTATTCAATTCTGTCACAGGGCATTTTCACGGGATCGCTCCCTGACGGCATCGAGCAAGGCGACCAAGCCGTCCAGGGTTTCTTCCCCGGAAGGAACGATCTGATCGGGCGGAAGGAGGAATGCGAATTCTCCCGTGTCTCTCAGCTCATACTGATAGGAATACTTGATACCGGCCACCCCTTTCATCCAGTCCGTCGAAGTACCCAAGATTCTGTCTGCATTGAAAAATCCAAGTGTAGGAATTCGAGAATCATGGGCCATCCTCGCGTTCCTGGGATGTATCACGGATTTACACTTTTGATTCCCCCCAACATGTTCAGCCAGTCTCTTCTAGGACGTGACCGTTCAAATAGCAGAAAGTGTCGCTTCAAAAGAATTAAATTTTCTCCTTTCGGACAGGTATGAATTTTGCTCGGATGATATTTAAGAACAAATGGAAATTAAAATCTTTTCTAAGGAATATTGACGATTCATCTGCAGTATATGTTACTGGACTATATGGAAGTGTTATTTTGTTAACCATACTCATAGGTGAAGCAAGAGGAGTTCCTCAAAAGTTGATACAAACAAAGTCTGGAAATAAAATCTGTGGGGTGGATACCTCTCCCCGAAAATCTACAGCTCTTAGGAGTCGCCTATTCGCGTTGAAGTGTCACAACACTCATTAGGGGATCCGGTTCCCACGCGCTAAATTGTAGGAGCTGATATGTCTTGCATTCGCGCCAAACCAAGTTAAGCATGAGACCCTATGAAATGTGTTTCATCTATCGTCAATCGGGCGAAGTCTGGCTCTCCTGAGAGAAACTCACAGAGGAGGTCCGTGTAAGTTCCCGATTCGTATTGCGTGCCGTATCTTTCCTCGAGGGCGCTCTCGGTTATGCGTGCCACTTCCAACTGCAACGAAAAAAAGTGACGCAATGACCTCTGTGATGTTCAACGCAATGAATAGGAGAAAGAGAGAGGCTCACGAGATCGTCGTAGTCGTCCGGATGCGTGGCTGTGTACCCCCAGGGGAAGAGAACGAACTGGGAGAAGGAATGGATGTTGAGATAGAGCTTGAAGTCCAGTTGGGGCATGTTCTCCAGCACGTAATCGGCGATTGCCCTCGTCTCCGATTCGCTGAATGGCGCTGGCCCGGATGAACAAGGCCCGCTGTCTGCAACGGTTCGTGAATGCGATGACACGTCGGCGTGATTCGTTAACGCGTTAGTCCAGCTTATTTCGTACGCACGCGGCACAAAGATGTCTGCATTCGGACAGGATTGACTTGAAAATGCGAAAGGATTTTGAACTTCAAGCGGTTTTCAATTGTCAAGACGAAGGAGAACGACATTTAGTATACGCAGCAATGGTGTCGTCCCAATCCCCAATCGTGCTGTTGCTTTAAATGATGTAGAATTGCAAATGAAGGGGATTAAATAGCAATATTCTGAAATAGCTCAATGATGAGCAGAAACACATCGTGGACTGTGGAGTCGACCTTCGAATGAACGTGGTCGCCGATCGTACGATGAACTCGAGTGTTGAAGATATGAAAATTGAATTTTTACCGCTCCAATGGAAGTCGAAGTTTTGCTCCGGATCGACTCCGATGCACCCGTCTTCGGGGTCGTGGTCGCTCATCGTCTTCCGCCACATCCGATCCTGGAACGAAAGAAGTCTAGCGTGCCTGCAATAATGTAATCAGAGTGGATGGGGGAGAGTGAAAGCGTATGGGGAATAAGATATTGGCTTTAGGATGCGCAGCAGGGAACACTGGGCATTTTCATCACCACAGTAGCGAACGTCGATTAATCTGTGAGCTCTTGTGTCACGATGTCCTCATTTCATTTTCACTTAATTCACTAAGAACATCTTTTCTCAGGATGTCCTAACCCAGTCAGCAGACCATGGATCGGCGTAACTGCGGAAGTTGTGGGGTTTCTGTGGCTCTTCAGTGGTTAGACTGTCTATGGCTCAGGAAAATCTGCACACTTAGCCCGCGCTTGGCGGACATGGATGTTTCACGCAATAGTGCAATCCGACTGAAGTGAAAACTTCTGGAAAACCTTTGAAACTTTGATGAGAACCGTACACTAATGCTAATTATCCCAGGTAAAGTTAGTTAATTACATAAGAAGTTGTTACGAGAAGCCAAGTGTCCTGGTTTTCTAATAATGGTACAGAAGGCGATAACGGAATCTCCAAGCGCAAGGGATGGAGGCACATTCTCTACAGGATTTGCTTACGGTCGTTTGACTGCGTTCCAAGCCGTCAGGGTTGGCGATGGGGAGGAAGTGGAGGTCGTATTCGTTGAGGATTCTCTCGTAGACTGGATTCGCGAGGAGCTCGTTCATGATCCAAGTGAGAGTGGCCGACGTGATCCGTTCCCGAGCGTGCATGTCTGCGTGGTGGGGAATTCCCTTAGTGCTCTGGGAGGGGGATCACGAGCGGGGACGGGGTGAGACTCACTCGCAACGATGAAGGCTGCCGTTTTTGGAATTCCCCAGTCCTTGTTGAATCGGATAAGCTTGAGATCCCTGCCTTGCCAAGAGGATCCGATGGTCTCCAGGGAAACGATGTCCGGATACGTGGATGGGAGGGAGTCGAGCCATTCGTAAGTCTGGAAAACGAACGGAAGGAATTCACAATCTCCGCAGGTTAGGGTAACTGGCTGTGTCAAGGTGGAACGTGAAAAAGGATCAGAAACGGTCGCTTCGACTTATATTGTTCAGAGGAATTTTTATAGGCAGTTTCGAACTTCTCAAATAACATAAAACTCGGATAATAAAACATCTGCAGTGCGGCAGTAAGTGCTATCGATCTACGGGGATCTTAAATCGGCATAAGAGTCCCGTTCGAAGTAAATCGGTGCCGGAGTTAATGCACTGTATACAAGCAAGCCCTCCAGATGAATTTCGACGACTCTATTCTAAAGAGTCGGTAGTTGCCAGTGAGCATTTTCGTTACCATTGTATTTTTTTTTAATTCTATGAGCTATTACGTCAGGGAGTCGTATTGCGGAAACGTTGGAAACGACAACTCAAACGTCTCCTCCCAGCATCAGTCTGGAAATCCTTCAAAAGTGATTCCAAGTCCCGGATGGACTTCGGAGTCGCCAATGGGATGGACGACCATTTAACCTTCCTATTCTGTTCCCATTTTAGGTACACCAATTACGTTCGGATCACCCTGGCCCGATATACGTTTCCTATGGTTTCAATAGGAATTCCCTTGAGTTTTTTTTCTGCTTCGTGATTTCTTATAGTAAAGGTATCGATCACACATGTGTTCATTATTTTATTAGCTATGTTTGCATACCTAATTATTGTTAGCACTGAGTTAATTCCAAAATGTTGCAAATGAGTTTTTTTTCTGCTTCGTGATTTCTTATAGTAAAGGTATCGATCACACATGTGTTCATTATTTTATTAGCTATGTTTGCATACCTAATTATTGTTAACACTGAGTTAATTCCAAAATGTTGCAAAAAAAACGAATTTCCAAAATTGTCAATTGCGACAAACCTTTATATATTATTGACTTTGCAAGGCGCATAAAACGTACTTGTGCTCAAATTGCAAATATTTTTTCCACGCGACGTACAGTTGATGCTTATTTTGTTGTCATATGCGGAAGGACAAAAAGTACATCCGGCTCTTTTTTGCTGTATGTTGCACTGTCCTACATAGGAGCTCGAGTCATTGCATGGTCTAGGCAGTCGCGCAGAAATGACGACGGTAGCAGAGGACGGTATGCGTGTATAATATTCTCTTGTCTCTAGCAATGGGCAAAAGCATGAACTGTATGCCCAATTCTACCAGGAACAATCTTCTTTTGAAGAGCTTAGGCTCTTTTTTGCTGTATGTTGCACTGTCCTACATAGGAGCTCGAGTCATTGCATGGTCTAGGCAGTCGCGCAGAAATGACGACGGTAGCAGAGGACGGTATGCGTGTATAATATTCTCTTGTCTCTAGCAATGGGCAAAAGCATGAACTGTATGCCCAATTCTACCAGGAACAATCTTCTTTTGAAGAACTTGTTCTAGTGCTATCCCGGATTTATTGCAGTCAACAGCGCATATGCTTTGTAGGCCGAGGTGTCCAACATATAATATGCCCAAAATAAATGTTACAAGGTAATGTAGGGCGCGTAGTAGGAGTTGTGATGGCATTACATCTGTCTTTTGCTGAACAAGTCAACACCTCTTGAACATTATTAGCATGTGCTTGCTAACCTTTGAGTGATGTGCATGTGCCACGTCAGGAAAATGTCTAATTAGGTTTTCTCCAAGTCATATGCAAAGTTCAGATTCCCGTAGACAAAAAAGGGTTGATTCCATCGTGTTTTTCATACCGTCTCTGAAAAACATGAGACATGCCAAGGCAAACCCAGCAACAGAAGGACGGAGAGAAGAAAATGATCCGAGAGGGTGTAATGCAACAAGAAGTCACATGGCGACCCGGATGGGCTCTTGTAGCCGAAACCAGATTGAATCCGCACTTTACCAAAACTGGCAGAACACTTGACTTTGAGAATCGTAACCCGTGTTGAAAATAAGACTAGTATGGCAATTGGGTCAAATAGACCCGAGCATAACAGGAGGAGGTATCACAAATATTTCAGTAATGCTTCATGGAAATGAGTTCGGCTTTGAGGTCGTAAATATATTCAAAAAGTTAGGAAAAGTAAAAAAAATTCAGATTTTTTCGATGAAATGCATCGAAGTTACATCGGGTTGAATGAGTATTTCTGGTCAAATAGACCCGAACAGAATAGGAAGGTTAATTGACTTTTGGCACATTAAGTGGGGAACAAATAAGAATGAAGGAAAGATAAATTCCATGTGAGACAAGACTAGGATTTATGTGATATGTGAAGCAAGAATCCAATGCAGGCATTAATGCTATGGATACTCAATGCTTACCGGTAATAGAATATTGTCATATCTGATATCGTTGCGACTTAACCTGCGTGCATGTCGTGCATGCTCCTGTATGCCTGAATACGTCTTGGTTCTGTCCTATCCTTATGGGAATAAACGCATTTTTTAAATCAGAATTTTGAGCTTTATTCTTTGAGGAAAATTATTCCCAAATGCAACAGTCTCCATATCATGCCCATACGACAGCGAAATCTAGCTGGGAAAAACCCTCGCGTCGATGGCCATTAGGGAAACCGAATTTCGCGTGAGAGTCATACTTATGTCAGCTACTGTCAAGGAACCATGATCTAGACCGAACATTCCCACGTACGTAGAGTCCGAGAAATTAATATATTGGTCCGAGGCGACACAATTTTGCATAATTTTGAAATGCAGAAAATACTTCTGAGGGTAGGGCTATTCACCCTGTCGTGATGTGCATTCACCAGGACAGACAGAACGACCTAAATGTATGTTGTTACAACTCCCCAATCACGAACTAAATTGCCGTCATCTTCCTTAATGTGGATAGGGTACCCCCTTATAGGAGAGACAGCAGAGTTCATTAGCGAGGAAAATCAAGTTCAATGAAAGCAAATTCCATGTCGAGTACTACAGTGGAACGATGAATACATGAACAACCGCGGTGATAACGAAGCAAGTTAAGGGAACATCATGCCATTATCCTTACATGATATTTCCCCAAACATCTACCTACAGTCGAAGCTCCATATAACGAATTTTCTTCACTGCGTTTTATTCCGGTTCGCGGCCGTTTGCCCAATCACATGTACGCTAAATTGTTTCTCTACAACAAAGTTCCGTATAAGGTATAGTTCCGTTTTACGAACTCATTTTTTCGTCCGAAGGAGCAAAACTGTTCCGTATTACGAAGTTTTCATCTGTAGCACACTTCAGAGCTACTTTCTCTCGCGCATTCCTGGAAAAAAGTTCATCTCATCTAAAATTTAACATATTCCACCCGCTTTGAGGGTGGAATAATTGGGGAGAGAGGCAGACCTGTCAGTTATTATTAATCATCTCAACGAGTTAGTTGGGGACGTTCGCTCCTTGAAGGAGAAATGGAAAGTTCATATTCGCTGTTCGCAAGGATGGCAATAAGAAGGAAATCGCGAAAAGGATCAGGGTCAGGTAGAGTTCAAAATTATACTCGGTCAGGTGATAGAAGCCTTCGACTAGCTTCGGTTAGAGGCCGAATGTTGAGCCTGAAATTTTAAAGCATTGAGAGCTCTGCAGACAACAGCTCAAAAAATAGTCCAGGAAGGAGAGTGGCAGAAAGCCATTTAGGATTTTGTTTCCGATTAATAGAGAGGTTCGGACGCTCGTCCGATTTTAATTCCGAATAATTTAGGTACCCATTTTGATTTTACATGCATTGCTCTTAATATATTCCTTTTTTTTTAAAGCAATATTGCATACGTTTAGACCTTTGCTTTTTTTGCACTATGTGACCTTTTTCAGTGGTATTGACGTAAGTTTAACAGACCTTTATTTTCCTGTGAAATGAGGGAAATTCCCAAGAACGAGTTTTCCTTACAACAATTTTTTTCAGCCCGCCCCTATGAGTTCGTTATATGGAGCGTTGACTGTATACAATAGGCAATTTACCGACTCACCTAACCATTAAGGAAAAATCGTGTGAAGGTGACAGTGGTCTCATATTGATTGTCATGATCGGAAAGCCTGCACAAAAAATATAATGTGATGATTGAATAATTAATTTAAAAGTAATTGTTTATTATTCCCGAGGCTACTTCTTTAGTGCTCTCTCTTGGTTCGGACTACGCAGTCTATTGCATCACTTTACATATGATTACTACTTGAACCTCTCTTACTATTAATTGAAAATTTTATCTGAGGGAAAGACATCCGATGTGGACCACATGTCGAACGGTTGAATGTGATACATCAATCGCAAGCTATTGATGAGTAGATTGCGGTGGTGCATATTTTATCTGAGAAATATGAGAAAAGAAGTAATAATTTTAACGTAAAGATTTGTGGGTCGTAGTATAGGCAAGCATAAAATTGCGTGTGCGCGCAAGGGCACCATGGGGTAGCCACGTTGAATGGAGGGCGAGAGTGCCCGTTTTCGTTGGAACAGAAAGCCTTAAGTATGGTGATGGGCAGAGTGACTGTATGTCCCGGGTTCGGTGGTGTAATGGTAGCAGATATGACCGGCAGTCAAAACCCGGGTTTAAGCCCTGGCTGTCCTCTGGCTTTCATTCTTGCCAGCCTCCCCCTGCCTTCAGTCCTCATGAAATATGTCCTCTATCCCCAAATAAGAATCCAATCACGCGAGTGCTTGGCCATGAATATTTTTCACCCTGTGCTTTTGAGTTTTTCTTAATACCGAACTAACAAACCTCAGAGAAAAAAGAACGAAGGCAGATCAAGCGAGCCGCAGTCCTATGTTTGGCCGAACGAGCGAGAAAGTCAGCCTAAATTGTTGGTTGATGGATCGGATGGATAAGAAAATAATCATTGCCGAAGGCCGCAACACTTCTAACCCAACTGACCCATTATTCCCGAAACAGGTTGACTTTCTCACTCCTTAGTCTTCGACAGAACTAAAGGGAAAAATATCGAAGTATACTGACCGTGTGAGCGCGATGAAGTACTTCACCAGAAGAACGAAAGAAAACCTGACTCGAGTACACTGCGCATGTCTGGGAAG